ATGCTAATACTATTATACAAACAACCAACACAAGTACGGTTTTGTCAGAATGGAACAAAGAGTAGCATTTTAGAAGTATTCGGGAAGAACCTTTATAGGAAAATCCCTTTACAGTTCACGCAATCAAATACACTATGCACAGTGCTATATTTTATGTAATAATTTTCTGATATCTACCATGGTATATTGTTAAGCTTTCCCATGCTTCAGTGATTATTGTCAATAGGATTGTTATTACGAAATAAAACAATTTGGAGCAGCGTTTGTTATTGACAACAAGAGGTAACTGATATAGACTGTGTTAGATACAAATCAAATAATACATAACGTTTACTATATATATATATATATATATATAATATATATATATATAGAAAAGTAATATTAACTGTGCTCGTACAGGAACATGATTTTAAATATATGTGTGCGTGTGTTTATTTAAAATAAGTAATAGGATTGTTATTACCAATAAAATAATTTGGAGCAGCGTTTGTTATTGACAACAAGCGGTAACTGACCTAGTTTGTGTTAGATACAAATCAAATAATATATAATATTTACTATATATATATATTATATATACATATATATATATAACGTATACAAATAGAAAAATAATATTAATTGTGCTCGTATAGGAACATGATTTTAAATATTTGTGTGCGTGTGTTTATTTATAATAAGTGTTGCTGTGCGCCTAATAACGGCATACAAGAAGTCAGTTTATGCATAGAGTTAATGGGGGTATTGTGAACTACATTATTTGGTTTGTTTTGAATTCCTATTCCCCTGAATGGTTTACCTGTTTGGTTGTTTGTTGTGACAATATAGAGATAGAGATATAGTAGGTACGGTAATATTTGAAATTTTACTTCCTCATTCGACATTCAATACGAAGAAACGCTTGTCACATTACACAAGAAAATACTTTCTAGATCTAGCCTCTCCTTATAAAGGATGACGTTTCGGATAGTGGTATTGCTTACAGTAGCATGTTTCTCATTCGAAGGTATGGTATTTCTTCTTCTTCAGTACTTTTACGTAGGCTTATTTAGTTAGTTTGCTTTTGAAAGTGTGATTTGTATCTTCCTAGTAAACTAAAACCAAAGTTACATATACTGATGAGCTCGAAGAACAAACTGAAGAAGACATTCCGTACCTTTTTGTTACTGGTACAGAATAATTCTTTTTGAATTATAATAATTTTAAATTCTTTAAAATAACAGTGCAGTTACTGCTAATTTGTATAACATTTAATCCACGATGTTTAATACATTAGAGCTCCTAAGGGCCTAGAACAAAAAGTACCGCCCCTTAATAGAAATCTCACTTGTTCTGCAAAGAGAACACTAACCGAACAATTTTTGTTTAGCTTATCATACAGTTGACAAATTGGATCTAGGAATGAGTTTCACTACTATCAATCTAATTTTGAAACAAACCCGGAATAGGGCCAGGCAAGTACTCTATCGAAGAGAGCTTCCCCTCTCCCGTCGGAGCAAAGAAAATGTATTTTGTTACATATTAGTAGTCTCTAAACTCGATTAAACATGTCCCTGAAACCCCTAAGTTATCGTAGCTTCCAGGAAATTGTACTCTTATCCCTTAAAAATCTTATCGGAGTTCATATCAGCAGTTCAGTACAACAATTATTTTTCTTAATGCAAATAGGGAAGTGCGATCGCACCGTCTGCACCCCTAGGGATGCTATGCACGAGCTCATACTCCGTTTAGCATAATGTTTTTTTACTCAACTATACGATTTTTGTGTACATTGGTGAAAGGTCGAGACGTGAACGCTCCTTGTTGGCCCCTTGACTGGAAGGAAGCAAATAGTGAAATGTCACCCCTAAATCAAATTGCCATACCACAGGGTAGTGTCTTGAATCCAATTCTATTTGTTATTCATAAATAATGATATTTTAAAATTGATTTTTCCAGGAACAAGCAGTATATTTGCGAATGGTGTTGCTATACTAATAATAACATGTTAGATTTATTTACCGCTTAACGCCAACAAGGCCTCTAAGCGCTTCACATTACTACCCTAGTCATTGGATTAAACGCCTGTGGAACACAAACTCAAGTTCCTTGGAGGAGTGTTGCTATTTATGTTGTAGGAACACAAGTTGATGGATTAAATACAAAATTACAAATATTTTAGAAAATATTGGTAAATGGTATGTCGGAAGTAAGTTGAAAATATATGCAATTAAAACAAAAGTCATGCTAATTCGAAACCAGACTATATTTTCATCTGATGTCCTGCATATTTCATGTCGACGGGAATTTGGGTTTAGCGATAGTGTACGAAAACTTATCATGGGATTATCATATACGACATATACGTCTACAGGCTTCAGAATTCATAACATAGAAAAATTGGTGGAAAAATTGCACCAATCTCTGCTTATTACATAAACACAACCGAACCATGTATAGATCATGCAAATTCGGTTTTGGGAAACAAAAACTGTTGTGGCGAAAGCATAATTCGACAGCTAATTTCATGTTTAATGTGAAATGCTATACGACATGCCCCCACGACCTTTCCGAAATTGAAATGATTTTCGATCGACATGGATATTCCAAACTTAAACACTTTGAATGCTGTTGCAATAATTTTAGTGCCAACTCTCTTTCACTGTGATTTCCATTTAGTGTTCGAGTGACAATTTTTACAACAGGCAGGGCCATCATGTATAAGTGACTATTTTTAACTATTTTAAATTATTAATGTGCAGTATTACATAAAGAAAATACTATGAATCCAGATTTTAATTTAGGCATTGCTTTATTAGATTTTTTAATAATGGAACGGGACCCTTATAAATCGGGGGCCCTGGAGGTCGGGGGCCCAGGTTCAATGAACCTGCTGAACCCTGCGGTAGTTACGCCACTGGAAATGGCCCTCTCAGAAGGTAAAAATGCTTTTTCAAAGCAGTCTCCTAGACCACATTATTGACTTTTCCCGACGAAAGATCAGCTCCCCCTCCCTTAGACAACTCTTCCCTCATGGGTGTCGTATGACTATTTATGTACCTATAGTCTACTGGGAGTCTCAAAGCAAATTATGATTATGGCACCTCTAGATGCCCGGAATTAATAGCTCTCATTCAGACGTAAAATTTGAATTGGCCTATTTCATCTCAATTTTTTTTTATGTATGTGGTCCTGGTCGGCTCGGCATGCGCCAATGGATTAATATAATGTATGTTCTACAGTCAATTTCAGAGACATTATGCTGTTATGTATAAACAAAGCCCTTTTAGATCAGTTGAGATCAGGGTGTTATAGAGCGAGGATTCTATGGGTAGGGTCACCGAAGGGACCCTTAAAGGTCGGTGGTCATGCGGACCTCCGCATTAGAACGCATACGCGTTACGCCACTTACCATGGATACGGTAGCTGTTCTAGTTGGGCACTACATTACGTTAATGAGGCTAAACCCGTCTTAGGTCTCTGTCTTGGCCTTTTTTACATCCTGGTTTATGAAATCGTTGGAAAAAATCGGCGTCGGGGATAAAGCGTACGGTAACGTTGTGTTCGCCGTCAATCAATAGAAAATTCAAAATTAGTGAGTGGTAAAATAATCGAGCTCTCCTTTCGCCCACTACTGTGACCGCCACTGAGCTCTGGGGACACTTCATTTTTTCCGTCTTTCATCCCTTTTACTCTCTCAACTCTGTTTTTATTTGTCGGCGGGTTTAACGGGAGGGGAATTAGGCCCCTCGCTGGATCCGTCTCTGCATGATGTCATGGCGAGATTGCGTCAAGTAACATCGGAGTTCGTAAACCTATGGTATCACTACTTAAATAAGTCGAAATAGACAGACTTATCCGTGTCAAAGACTGTATAATTATTGTTCAATAACGGCTATATAAAATTCAATTTATTAACTATAATTTTATTTTTTTATATTAGGAAAAACAGGAATCTATGTATGCAGATAATAAACGCTAGTATATACGGGCCTTAATAATATACAAAATGAATATCCTTTATAGTAAAATCTGAGTAATAATTGTACATTTTGAGTTCGTAAAAATGTTGGCCTAATAGTTTTACACGCTTCCAATTTTAACAACGTACAGTACATTGTTTTCATAATAAATTTGGCCTCTGATAACCATTGCATCCATAAAATCGATGGAGTGGTTACTGAGATGGTAATGAAATGTACAAGAAATTGCGTTTTTACTCAGTATTGGTCTGGACTGGAAATACGCACCGCACTTGGAACACAGCACAAGTGAATAGACAAAATTCATGGCAGTCAGTTTTTGAAATTAGGAAAAACAGAAATCTATAAATGCAGATAATATTGAACACTAGTATATACGGGCCTTAATAATAATATACAAAATAAATAAATCGTTTATAGTAAAATTCAGTAAAAATTGTGCATTTGAGTTCGTAAAAATGTTGGCCTAATAGGTTTACACGCTCTAATTTTAACAACGTACAGTACATTCTTTTTATAATAAACTTAGCCTCTGATAAGCGTTGCATCCATAAAATCGATTGAATGGTTACTGAGATGGTAACGTAATGTACAAACAATTGCGTTTTTACTCTGTATTGGCCCGGAAATACGCACAGCACTTGCAACAGAGCACAAGTGAATGGACAAAATTCATGACAGTCATTCGTGATTGTTTTGTGTTTTTTCCACTCACTTTCAAAAGTGGAGTTTTAACTATAGAAGATTAGTGAAAAGTGGGGGAGGGGGCAATTGATATGGTGTGGGGGATGGGAACGTATCCCCCTGTCCCCCACTGATCGAAGCCCATGGGTCAGATCATGGTTTATGATTTACAAAGAATGCTTCATGGGCTTAAACAATTAGCGTTGAGTTCAGGTGCAGGTGGTTTTGATAGCCGTTTACGTCCTTTTTATAACAAAAAAATATTTAGAAACCAATAAAATGAAGTGTTGGTAAGGGTATTTAAAGCAACCTTTTACTGTAACTTATTGAGAAACAGAAAACCGACTGTGCTTGACGAAAATCGACTGTGTTTGTTAAACGGTGCCTGAAAACCGAGCGTGCTTGAAAATCAATTGTGTTTGAAAGTTGACCTTTTGGCGTTCTATAAAACCACACAATCAACTGACAGACAATGCAAAAGTACGTAAGTAATCCATTATATCTCCATGCGTAAACAATGCCATCTTCTCACAATAGCTTAAGATCAATTAAATAACTAAAGTAAAGTCATTATTTTTTCCCTTAATTAAGGTGCAATATGAAATTATATTCACTTATATGTTATTAAAGTTTTTCAGACTGGTAGGTTTCAAATTTAAGACGTTATCTGAGGTTCTCAATTTAGTACTTTGATTGTAGGCTTTGAAATAAGAATAATTGTAATATAGACAAGGACAAAAAAATACAATACTTAATATGCCACTAAAATACCAAAATGGAAAGTGATTAAATTTAAGAAATATCTTAAACATCTGCTAACAGAACGGTTCGCTGCACACCTTAACATATTAAATTAGTCAAAAGGGGATCCCCTTTTCTCACCAAATTGACTATATCATTTGAATGGTTTTATTTGACAATCTAGAGTGATCAGATTATAAAACTAGACTTTTTAAGATTAATAATTATCTATTTATTTTTATAATCAATGCAAAATTGAGTCAACATTTTTCTTTCAGAGTTGACAACAGCTTTGACTTTGTATAGGAAAAAGGTTGAAATTAGATTTTTTTTTGGTGTACTAACTACTTCTGCTTCACATAACTCGGCAACCATAGAGCGCTTTGGGGTGAACGGTCAAGAGTAGCTCATAAAGTAATCTTTCTTGTCATATACATCTAATTGTAATTTGTTAAGAGACCAGTGACCATTTTCCTTAAAAATCGTTTTTACCCTGTGTTACTAGTACGTCCAATGACTTCATGCGCTTTGAGCGAATAGCATACATGCAATTTAGTGTGGCCTGTGGTGAGTGCGTTCATGCATACAATGTAGATCAAAATGTACCCGAATAAGTGTTCATTATGGTGTGTTTTAAAATTTGATTAAGATTGTAAAGTGTAATAAATAAATCGACAGAAATATAAAAAAAAAGATGTTAAAAATTAAATCACGTCTTCACGTAGGGACTACAAAATTTGTTTAATTGTACTTGTAAGTCAATGATGACAAAATTGAAAGAAATCTTTAAAAAATATATCTTTTATATTTCTTTCAAGACAAGGTTGGATTGTAATTGTGTAATTACTTCTTACCCGCATCCGCCTTTATCAGTGACATAGACGAAGTTTTTTCTCCAGCTCCCTTGATCCAACATTGCCGTTTTCAGTTCATGTTTCGTACTAATATTCCTGTTTTGTACTAAGTTTCTAAAAGGTTTCGATTTCGAACATTACAAAGTTTACTTGTCTAGTAATTTGGTTAAATGCACAATGGAATACTCTAATTAATTTTTCATATAATTACACCAAGATATCGAATTGAGTAGACCTTTTCAAACATTTCATCCGTTTTAATCCGATTCATTTAGTGTTTCTGCCAATTTATTTAGGGTGTTAATTTTGTATCAATTAGTTTTATTTAATTGTCTAATACGGTCATTCAAATTAAGATTTTCATCAATCTTACGTATTATTTTTACCACATCGAGGGTTTTCCCACCAACATAAATACTCAACGTGGAAAATGGGCGAATATTTCTATTCTATTCTTAATTAACATACGGTAAGTTTGTTGAAGTTATACCAATTTTCGACATTATCGATTGACGTTTGATGTTAAAGTTATCCACACATTTATCAGTAGATGGCAACATCATTATCCGCAATATGCCCCAAGATCCTTGGGGTAGGTCATTTATGAATAATGAAAATACGATCTGTCCTAACACACAGTCCTGTGGGATGCCAATTAAACGCTAATTTTGCTTTTTCATAATTGTTTTTACAACTTGTTTGTACTGTGAAAGATAACTTTTAAACCATTAAATTTTAATATCTTTGATGCCATAAATTTCTAATTTAGTTAGAAGAAGGGCATGGTTAATAGAGTCAAAGCATTTAGATATGTCGAGAAAACAGGTTCCAATAATTTCACAGCCGTTCTATCCATTCATCTAGAACTCGATGAAGGCAAGTGATGGTCATTGACAATCATTGGTAACTGTATACAATGGACAATGCCTTTCGGTGGCTCAACTTCAAAATTTAATGTTTAATTCATTGATATTATGTTGTGTTAACTTACAGCTTTTGGAAAGGATAAAGGGAATACATTGTTTTTGGCAATCTACCAGTATCCTGTGTCGTATATTGGTTGGCTTCCTGCAAACCCAGAATCCTACAAAAATGACATGACGTTATCATATAATCGGAGCTATACTCAAATCCTCACACACCACTGGACCGCAGTAGCTGCTGATTACCACACAGGAAATGTTACTTTCCATGACAAAGTAAACCGCTGGATATACTTAAGTGAGGATTTTGGAACTCCTGGTGGCGGCTCTGCTTCTTCAATTGAAGGTGGAACCTCTGGTAGAGTGGAGGCTATGGCAATTGACTGGTTGGCTCAGAATGTGTACTGGGTGGACGAGGGTTACAATTGGATTAAAATGACAAATTATCTTGGAGAAGGAGAAGCATTGATTGTTGATTTAGGTCTCGAAAGGCCGTCTGGGATAGCCTGCCATCCTATAGAAGGGTATGTATACATTCAAATTTATTTTATTTTTGTATTTTATTTATTTTGGTATAAAAAACAGACTCACATCAATCCAAGAGGGCAAACCTGATAAAAAGCCAATTAAAATAAGAAATTACCAAGGATACTGCTTCTACTGTTGCTACTGGAAGTGTATCTCAACACTGAAGTTCCTATTAACAAAAGTGGCTATAATGCAATGATTCAGTGCCAATTTTCGTCCACTTAAAATTATCTTTCTTATTTAAGGTATCTATTCTGGACTGAATTAGGGAATAAATATCCGGCTAAGATTGAAAGATCATCTCTTTCAGGAGGAAATAGAGTCACTATTGTTACACGTGTTAGCGAACCAACGGCTATAGCAGTAGATACTATCACTAACAGGTACTGCATTTGTATGTTTTCGGGGAAGTCTTAGCAGAGGAATGTTAAGCAGGGCACACACTGTACCGACATGATTCCATGGCGCTCACATGGATCGTTATTAACGACCGACCTTAAAAAATATGAAACAATTTTAGAGAATAATGTTCCAAGGCATCATATTCGCTGTATGGACCACCCTTGCTAAAATATTTTTTTATTCTCTTTAGTATATATAGGCCTCTTATCATCATCATTATCATATTATTATTACATTTTAATTTCTGCTTTCTTTGTAAAAGCTATATCAAATAAATCGTAGTATAAGATTATTTATTATATTATTATTATTATTATCATTATTATTATTAGTATTATTATTTATATTATTATTATTATCATTATTATTATTATCATTATTATTATTATTATTGGTATTATTATTAATATGACCATCATCATCATTCGGAAAATCATTCTTATTATTTATATTATAGTTAATTCTAACCTTTTTATTCTTTGAATTATTCTATCACCTTTAAGACTAGTATCATATTGCATTTAATAGGATTTACTGGACTGATCATAATGCAACTAACAGTAAAATTGAATCCTCCGATGTAAATGGTGAAGACAGGCGAATGGAAGTGTCACAACCTTTATCTGATGGCAAATTTAAAAGTATTTCTGTCGACGAAGTATGTACCAACATGACCTTTTCATCATTATCATCATCCTCATGTGTCTTCCTCACATATCATTGTGTATTTATTGTCCTTATCACATCACTATCGTTATAATTATCATCTTCCCGTATCGTTGTCGTCTGATCATTATCATCTTCTCCTATCCTTGTCGTCTCATCATTATCATCTTCTCGTATCCATGTCGTCTCATCCTTATCATCTTCGACAATCCTAATCACCATTAACTTTGTCTCACTATTACCATCAGCATCATCATCGTCGTCGATATTATTTACATTATCACATGCATCATCATGCATATTTTCATCATCATTATTAGCATTAATATTATCGCTATTGTCATAATTCTCATTTTCATCATTATTATCATCCTCATCATCATCACCGAAAGAGAATTGTAGCTCTTTAATATACAGATTCAAATGTCCAGGATGCCTTGGTA